CGATGTTTTGTTCTCCCATGCCAAACTTCAAAAAAAAAAATGCAAATTTACCCTGGCCAGTTTGGCCCAGTGGTTAGAGCATCGACCTGCAGACCGAAGATTCCTAGTCAAGGACATGTACCTGGGTTGCAGGTTCAATCCCTGGCACTGGTCTCAGGGTCATGTGGGAGGCAGCCAATTGATGCCTCTCTCTCTCCCTCCCTCCCTCCTTTCCACTCTCAAAAAAAAAAAAAAAAAAAAAATCATTGAAAAACACCCTCCCTCGAGTGAGGATTAATAACAACAACAACAAAAAAAAATGCAGCCCTGGCCTGTTTGGCTCAGCGGTTAGAGCATTGGCTTGCGGTCTGGAGGGACCCGGGTTCGGTTCCCGCTAAGGGCAGGTACCTCGGTTGCAGTTTGTCCCCGGCCCTGGTTGGGTTGTGTGGGTGGTGACCACTCGATGTGTCCCTTTCAAAACATCGATGTTTCTTTCTCTCTCTCTCTCCCTCCCACTCTATCTGAACAAAATACATATATATATATAAATGTCCTTGGGTGAGGATAAAAAAAAAAAATGCAAATTTTAAATATTATTTGCCAAAATGTTAGGAGACCTTATAATCTTTCTACATCCAAAGACCTACATGGGAGCTAGGTAATTCTCCTTCCTTAAGCATGTCTTAAAGGGAGTATTTTTTAACTTTTTGTTTGAAAGTAATTATAGATTCACAGGAAGTTGCAAGGAAAATGTATGTGGAAATCCTATCTACCCTTAACCCAGCTTCCCCTAAGGATAACATCTTGTATAACTATGATAAGAGATCAAAACCATGTAATTGGCAACGGTACAAAGCACAGCGCTTACTGTTTTCACCCGTTATACCTGCACTCATTTATGTGTGTGCTTATAGTTCTGTGCAATTTTATCACATGTGTAGCTTCCTGTAACTACTCACAGTTCGTTATATTACCACAAGGCACCCCTGAGATACCCCTTTTTAGCCACAGCCATCCCCCACCCCCACCCCATTCCCAGCTCCTGGCAACCATGCATCTGTTCTCTAGCTCTATAATTTTATTTCAAGAATGTCATATACAAGGAATCATACAGTATGCAACCAGATGCTGTATTGCAATGTCATCAGTTAAGCCTCAGGCTTCTTCCTTTATTTTTATTTTTTTAAATATTTTTATTGTTTAGCCCTGGCCGGTTTGGCTCAGCGGTTAGAGCGTCCGCCTGCGGTCCGGAGAGACCTGGGTTCGGTTCCCGCTAAGGGCATGTACCTCGGTTGCAGTTTGTCCCCGACCCTGGTTGGTCGTGCGGGTGGCGGCCACTCGATGTGTCCCTTTCACATCGATGTTTCCCTCTCTCTCTCTCCCTCTCTCTCCCTCCCACTCTGTGCAAAAAATGGAAAAATGTCCTCGGATGAGGATTAAAAAAATATATATATATTTTTATTGTTTAGAAAGAGAGGAAGGGAGAGAAAGAGAGAAAACAAAACAAAACAGCGATTGGCTGCCTCCTGTACACACCCCAACCGGGGATCAAACCCACAACCCAGGTATGTGCTCTGACTGGGAATGAACCCACGACCATTTGATACACAGGATGATGCTCAACCGAGCCACATGGGAAAGGGCAGGCTTATTTCTTTAAGTGACAGGATCAAACCTCAAACAAAAAAAGGGAAAAAAATTTATTCATTCACCAACTGGCTTGGACCAAGTTTTAAGATGGAATCACTGTAACTCTCTCCTACCTACACCCCATTTTCCTCCTGAACCCCCACCTCCCACTCTCTGCTCTCCCATTTACTCTTCTGCTTTCCTTTGCTTACTCTCTCTCTCATTTTTTTTTTTTTTTGGTACGTGCCCCTAGTGGGAACCGAACCCGGGACTCTCTGGTCCGCAGGCCAATGCTCCACCTGCTGAGCCAAACCGACCAGGGCTCCTTTGCATACTTCCTATGTGGTAGCGAAAAATGGACCCTGGCGGTTCTGTCATTTCATCATAATCACACTTAAGCAGCCAGGAATAAATGATTTAAAAACCACCACCTATATCAGGACTCTGGCTCAATGCAGGCCACATACCCAGTCCCAACCCAATCTTCACCCCTGGCGAATGAGGTTTCATGACTGGCCAGGCTGCCTCTCTTAATGATAGGACCATTGGCTCGACACCTTCCTCCCAGAGCGGGGGGTAAGGATGTGCACAGGCATGCCTCGAGTTATTGTGCCTCACTTTACTGCACCCTACAGATGTGTTTTTACAAATTCAAAGCAAGACCCTCTGCCAGCAAAAAGTATTACGACTGGCTTGACTGAGATACGCACTTTACTGTGGGATTCTGGAACGAACCCGCAATATCTCCAAGGTATGCCTATACTTTCCGAAAGAAAATGATAGGAGCCAGACCAAAGCTTTAATCATAATGTAAAAAAATAATGATCATTGATGTTCATTATTCTAGGTTTCTCTACTTCAATGCCTACTCTCTTCCCCACCCTGACCCCAAATTTTATTGAGGTATAATTGACAAATAACATTGCATTAGTTTAAGGTGTACAACACAATCATTTGCTGTATGTATGTATTATGAAATGATTACCACAACAAGGTTAGTTAACGTCCATTACCTCACGTAATTACAAATTTTTTTCTTGCAGTGAGAACTTTTTCAAGATTTACTTTCAACAACTTTGAAATATCCAGGACAGTGTTAACTTAGTTACTATGCAGTACAGTAGGTCCTCAAATAATGTTGTTTCATTCAATTAGTTTCATTATAATGGTGATAAGATACTGTAGGAACTTAACTCTTTTTTATATTGATTGGCCTATAGTAAAATTGGTTTCGTTATACGTCTTTGCCTTAAAGTCTCAGAACTAGCCACGATGTTAAGTAAGGAGTTACTGTATATTATACCCCCAAATTAATTACTTTATTTATGTTATAACTGGAAGTTTATGCCTTTTGCCACCTTCATCCGTTTTGCCCACCCCTACCACCTACCTCTGGAAACCACCAATCTGTTCTCTGTATCTATGAATTGGGTGTTTTTAATTCCATGTATGAGTGAGATCATACAGCATTTGTCTTTCTCTGTCTGACTTATTTCATTGAGTACAATGTCCTCAAGGCCCTCAAGGTACATTCATATTGTTGCAAATGGCAGGATTTCCTTCTTTTTTTATGGCTAAATAATATTTCTTTGCATATCTTCTACCAAGTTTTCTTTTCTTTTTAAAATTTTTTATCCTCACCCGAGGACATTTTTGCACTTATCTTCAGATAGAGCGGGAGGGAGAGAGGGAGGAAGAAAGAGAGAGAAACATTACTGTTACAGCGACGCATCGAGTGGCTGCCACCCACACAACCCCAACCGGGGCCGGGGACAAACTGCAGCCGAGGAACGTGCCCTTAGTGGGAACCGAACCTGGGCTTCTCTGGTCCACAGACCAAAGCTGTAACCGCTGAGCCAAACTGGCCAGGGCCCAAGTTTTCTTTAGCTACTCATCTTTTAATGGATATTTTGGTTGTTTCCATGTCTTGGCTATTGCAAGTAATGTTGCAGTGAACATAGGGGTGCAGGTACTATGCTCTTTCTTTAATATTGAAATTTTAATTGAGATCATTGTATATTTAAGATGTAAGGAAGAGTATGAGAGATCTTGTGTACCATTTACTCAGTTTCCTCCAATGGTAAAATTTTGTAAAACTATAGAACAATGTTATAATCAGCATGCCGATGATGATATAATCCACCGATTTTATTCAGACTTTTCCAGTTTTACGTATACTTGTGTGTATATTTGGTTTCGTGCATTTTACCATTTCATTTTAAAAATTGCATTGTATGACTTTTTTCAGATCACGGCTAGATATTTAATTCAAGGCGTGGTTTCATTAAGTGACTGGAAGTGGCCAGTGCCTTTACTAAGATTGCCCTTTAAGAAACCACATCGCAGTCACTGCTGTCATGCTTTCTCTGTAGGAAGCAACAAACTCAGTGCTTTGCGGGGGTCCAGGAAGGAGAAAGCCTATGTCGAAACAAGGGTTAGTTCTTCCCGCTGCAGACTTAGGGTGATGACTTAAGTATCCCTTAATAAATGATCCTTACCTAGTGTTAGATATGGCATGAGGCATATTTTGTGGTCTCAAGTGCTCCCTCTGAAAACTTTAACGTTTGGACTAGAGGTACGATTCAGGCAAGAGAACTCAGGGCTAAAAGGGTGCCCTTCCATGGATAAAGTATGCCCAACTGAAAGAAATCATTTGCAAAATTCTGAGGTTAAGAGAACAAAGACAAGCACATGTGCAAAACTAGTCCCATGTTTGGTTTGGTAAGAATCCCCACAGCTGGGAAAGCTGGTGGAACTGGGAAGCATGGAAAGGCAAGACCTTTCTCCCCACCTTAGATAGTTGTGCAAATGTCCTAAAGATTTTAGGCAGAGCAAATACTCATGAAGTTGTCTCTGGCATTTGCTGAAATGTCTATGGTCTCTTGAAGCCAGGTGCTTGCTTTAAAAAAAATAATAATAATTTTAAATCGAGATATAGTCTGGCTGGTGTAGCTCAGGAGTTGAGCATCGACCCATGCACTAGGTGGTCACCGGTTTGATTCCTGGTCAGGGCACATACCCAGGTTGTAGGCCGATCCCTAGTGGGGGCATGCAGGAGGCAGCTAATTGATGTTCTCTCTCATCAATGTTTCTATCTTTATCTTCCTCTCTCTGTAAAATCAATAAAGGAAAAAAAAATTTTAAAAATTGAGATATAGTTGATATACAATAAAGTACTCATATTTAAAGTGCACACTTTGATAAATTTAGACATATGGATGCACTCAGGAAACCATCACCACACAATCAAGAAAGTGAACATGTCCATCATCCCAGAAAACTTCCCCATCCCCCTTTCTACTCCCTTCCATGTCCCGCAGCAGATAAATACTTAGAGGATGATAAAACAAAAACACCAGACTTGATTTTTTTTTCTCTCCCATTATTCATAGGAGGGGTCCCCTTTTTGAAGCTGGCGGCCTATGGCTCATCCAAAGCAGCTCTGAGCATGTTTTCCGCAGTCATGAGACAAGAGCTTTCCAAATGGGAAGTTAAAGTCTCTATCATCCAGCCTGGAGGCTTCAAAACAAGTAGGTGTCTGAGCCCAAGCTTCTTGCAATGTTCTTCCTGGGAGGGATGCTAAAGGTCCTTGGTCTGCTCAAACTGAATGCCACAGAAGTCAACTAAAGAGGGGCTGGGATGGGTGGCCCTCTTCTAAGAACCTAGGAAGTGCATTCTTCCACAAAGGAATTAAGTTTTGATGTCATGTGTTTGATAAACACCACCTCCTCTGCTCTGAAGAATGTGACCCGCCTGTTTTCTGCCCTGGGAGGAGATAGGCATCCTCTCCTCTCTCCTCCCTGAATTTCTCAACTCTGGGCAGATGCAGACCACCCCATGGCTCAGTGCTTAGTTCTGGGCCATCACACATTTAATGGGTGATTGAATTGAAGATGTAAAAATGTCTGTCCAATAAAAAGGCCATAAATTGGGAGGGATTGCTAACATGCTGAAGAACAAACCCCAGAGGTCTGAATGTTAAGCAGGAGGAGCATGTCTGGGTGAAAGGCTTCTTCCGGGAGGGAGACCGCGAGAAAGAGACCTGGGCCACCCAGGTGGAGAGGCTAGACCAGGGCTGTGGGAATGAAGGGAAGACGAAGTCTTGAGGAGGGTTTTCCACCTTGGAGACTCCCTGGGTAGAAAAGAGAATTGCATGGGTCAAATATAATGCCAAATGCAGCAGACCGAGAGACTGGTATAGAAGCCATGACAGAGAGAAGAAAGTTGAATGACAGTTAGAGTAAGGGGTAAATGATGTATATGACATTGAACCTGGTAGGAGGATTGAGGATTTGGTGGTATAGCCAATGGAAACTCCCAACATATAGATGTGACTCTATTTGGACCAGAGAGCAACCCTCCGGTTAAGTAACAGGATTCACCGAAATTGTTATGGCTGACATTTTGGGGAAGCTGCCCTTCTCAGACACTAGCCACATTCTACATATTTTTTCCTGATCTTATTCATTTTTAAATTGAGAAATATAGCAGATACACACATAGTTCAAGAAATTATTATAAAAACTTGTGTCCTTAACATCAGATCAAAAAGTAAAACATTTTCAGTACCCAGAAACCTCCATATGATCCTTCCAGTCATAGTTTTCTCCCATCCCCAAAACATACCCACTCTCTTACTTTTTGTAATAATAGTCTATTGGTTTTTCTTTATAATGTCATGTCCATACATGCATCCCCAAACAGTAGAGTTTGGTTGTACTCATTCTTGAACTTTAAAGGGAATCAGCATGTTTGTATTTTATTGTGTATGGTTTCTTTCAACTCAACATTGTTTCCACAATTCATCTATGTTGTGGGTAGCTGTGGTTCATCCATTTTCATTGCTGTATAGTATTCTGTGACTATGCCACAATTTTTCTGCAGTTGATGGGATATTTGGGTCACTTTTGGACAATTATGAAGAGTTCTTCTATGAAGCTTCTGTCACATGTACTGTGGTGCACGTGTACATGATTTTTCCTATGACACATGTCCAAGAGCGGAATGACTGGATGACAGGATCATAGCACTTAATTATCTTCAACTGTACTGGATAATACCAACCTGTTTTCTTAAATATTGTTCCCATTTATTGCCCTACCCTTTCCACATATGTGTTAGTCTGCACCACAGTTCTTAGGGGTAGGTTTAATGGATGTAATTCTCCAGGTGAGGACTCTAGGTGAGGTGGGTAATGTACATCCAGGATGAGTGTCCGGCACACCATGGAGGTGGGGAATTTGAAACCAGATCCCTAAATGCAGTGCTGGATTCTTTCTTTCTCTTTTTTTTATCCTCACCCAAGGAGGACATTTTTGCATTTATCTTCAGATAGAGCGGGAGGGAGAGTGGGAGGAAGAGAGAGTGAGAAACACTAACGTGAGAGAGACACATTGATTGGTCGCCACCAGCATAACCCCAACTGGGGTCGGGGATGAACTGCAACCGAGGTACGTGCCCTTAGCGGGAATAGAACCTGGGACTCCCCAGTCCGCGGGCTGATGCTCTCACCGCTGAGCCAAACCAGCCAGGGCTGGATTCTTTCTTTTATGCCAGACTGCCCTCACTTTAAAGCTGATATTTGATGGCCTCTCTGAAGGCAGGAGGCTAGACCGTGGAGGGCTGAGGACACAGGTTGGAAATTAATGCTGAAGTGTGGGGGAAGGGCAAGAATAAGAATCTTCAGGGGCCCTGGCCGGTATGGCTCAGTGGTTAGAGCGTGGCCTGTGGTCCAGAGGGACCTGGGTTCGGTTCCCGCTAAGGGCATGTACCTCGGTTGCGGTTGGTCCCCGGCTGGTTGGTTGTGCGGGTGGCAGCCACTCAATGTGTCCCTTTCACATCAATGTTTCTCTCTCTCTCTCTGTTCCTCTCTCTCCCTCCCACTCTACCTGAACAAAAAATGGAAAAATGTCCTCGGGTGAGGATAAAAAAATAAAAATAATAATAAAAAAAGAATCTTCAGGGACACAAAGAGCTTCTGAAGACATTCAAGGAGACACACCAGAGTTTTCAGTGCCCTGCAATAAAAAGAGCTAAAACGTATTGCATGCTTAGCAGATTTCAAGCACTTGACATGCACAACCTCACGTAATCCTTTGAGGCAGTCATGGTGATAATCGCGCTTTATAGGGAGAAAACTGAGGCTCAGGGAAGTTAAGGCATGTCCCAGGCAGAGCAGATAGGGGGCAACGTGAGGCAGGAATGGCATTTGGGTCCAGGTAGTCGTAATGATGTCACTCGTGTAGCCCAAACTGGCAGGAGACGGGTGGATGTAGGTCCAGAGTGGCAGGTGAAGATCGACAGAGGGCTGGTGGCTTTGACACCGAGAAAGAGCGCTCGGGGAATCTAGATGGGGTTCCCACAGGAGTGTCTAGAAAGTCCACGAGGCACTTACAGAGGAAGTGGGAAGCCGAAGGGATGCCCCAGCCCGCCAAAGCAGAAACCGGGAGGGAGGGAGCTGGAGGAAGCACCGTTCATGCAGACGAGTGTTTCATGACTCAGAAACCTCCGGAATAATGGTCAGGGCAATCATTTCTTTAAATATGGTGTGTGCCTCCCTAAAAAGAAACGAGCAATTAAAACCCCATGTACGTTCCCATGAGTATAATTGGATATCACCGGCTTACCTTTCACAGCGAGGGGTCCCCACAGCCCTGATGTTGGAGAGTCGAGTTTGCAAACACAGCCTTCTCCCCACGGCAGTCCCTGGGCAGCCACATACTTTGCAGGAGGGGGCATGAGATGCTGTCATCTTTCTGGAAAAAAATCTGCCAGTGGCTATTAAAATTCAAAAGGAACGTGCCTTTAGACCAGGCGGCCGCACTTTGGGGACTGTCACCTACAGAAGCAAATGCTGAAATACAAAAGGATATAATATGCAAGGTGGTTGACGGCAGAGCTGCCTAAAAGGGTAAATCCTAGGAAGGACTGGCAAGTCCTTGGATGGAGATGTGGTTGACTAAAAGCTGTTCACTGGAAAATTCTGCGCTCAATTGATAGCCATGGACCAGAGGCAGGTCTGTGATTTATTACTGAGCAAAAGCAAGCAAAACACCAAACAAACATGAAAGCCAATTCCTAGACAAGCTGTATAATATGATCCTTTTAGTTTTTTGTTTGTTCCTGGTAAAATAGAATTGACCCAAAGCCTTGTATGTGTATGTATATTTGTATGAACCAGGGAGAAATGCAGAAAGACACACAAAGGAGATTAATTTTAAAAACATACGCATCTCCTTATTACTCATGTATTCACAATTATTTTATATATAATATATATTCTAGTGTACACATTATATTTTATATTATATATAATAGTCATGAAGAGATATATACTGAAATGTTTGTGACAGAATGATTTCTAAGAGCTCCAAATTGAAAACAACCCAAATGCCCATCACAGTATAATGGATAAGTAATTTATGGCACATTTATACAACAGAAAACTCTGAAGCTATGAGAATGACCACACCATATCATGGAAGAACCTCTCAACCTCATGCATGATTCCATTTATATACCGTGCAAAGCCAGGCAAAGCTACTCTATTCTGTTCATCAGGACAGTGGCTTCTGGGAAGGGGGCTGAAGGCGGGGGCTTGAGGATGGTTTGTCCTTTTCTTTTTTTGTTTTTATTCTCACTTGAGGACATTTTTGCATTTAAGCTCAGATAGAGCGGGAAGGAGAGAGGGAGGAAGAGAGAGAAAGAAATATCAATGTGGGAGAGACACATCAACTGGCTGCCACCCACACGACTCCCACCGGGGCTGGGGACAAACTGCAACTGAGATACTGCCCTTCGTGGGAACCGAACCTGGGTCTCTCTGGTCCGCTGGCCGACGCTCTAACCGCTGGGCCACACTGGCCAGCGCAGTTTGTCCTTTTCTTGATCTGGTTGCCGGTCACACAGGCTATCCAGTTTGTGAAAACCCTGTCGTCGGTGCAGCTTTTCTGTGAAAACAGAATAAACACCATTCGAAAGCACATCTTTGAAAAGGTGTTTGGGAATGCCGGTCCTTCTCCGCAGGAGGCAATGCGCCAGCGCCTGCTTCCCCACGAGGGGTCGGCCCTGCCTGTTCGGCCTTCCCGCCTCTGAGCTTCCCTTTCTTTCCTCTGGCACCCCAGACATCACAGGCACAAGTGAAGCGAGGGAAAGGCTGGTGAAGGACATCCTGGACCACCTCACCCCTGACGTGCGGGAGGAGTACGGCCAGGAGTACATCCTTGCGCAAAAGAAGGTTTTCAACTCATTCCGTTTGCGCCTCAGCTCCGACCTGTGCCCCGTGCTTGAGGACATCCGGCACGCCATCTCTGCCAAGAGGCCCTTCACCTTTTACACGCCGGGGGCCGGGGCTTACCTGTGGTTCTGCTTTGTTTCCTTTAGCCCAACGGGCATTTTTGATTATTTTAACCAAAAAATGCATGCCTTTAATAACGACATGCCTAGAGTGCTAGGCATGCGTAACTGTAAGAAAAAGGCCATGTAGGCAAATACGTGGAAAATGTTATCATCTTGGAGCAAAAGGGAAACCAGAATTTCCCATTAAAGTTGTGGTTTCCTACCTTGCATTTCCCGTGAACTCTGTTGGTTGAATGGGACCTACTGGTGAGAAGGCTGGAGAGGGGAGAAATGACCACTGTGAAGAGCATTGATTGAGTGTCGACTCTGCACCAGATACATTTCAGATATTCTTTCATTTAGTTCTCATTAGAGAGCTGAGGTAGGTATCTTCACCCCTACTTAATGGGTAAGAAAATGAAGGATCAGAGAGGTTAAGCTCCTGGTTCATTGTTACACAGCTAGCAAAAGGCAGAGCTAGAATTGAAATCCAGGTTGGACTCCACTGTCTGGCAGGAGAGAAGGAAGTGGCGAGATGAAGAGGAAAAAAGGGAGAGGGAAGAGAGAAGAGGGGGATGGAATGGTAAGGACCAGCGTCAAACTGAGCCTTTCTCAGTGTGAGCTGATATCCCACGGTAACTACTTCATTCAAGATATTCAACTTATTGTATATAAACAGTGCACTGTGCTCCTCTTCTCCCTTCCTCTACCAAGAGCCCTGGAGATAATGTGAGGAGGTCTCTCATCTCAAGCAAAGCCCCAGAGGCATTTTGGCAGAACCAGGACGTGTGACAGTCTGGTTTGGTGTCCATAGTAATCATCCCTGCCCTGGCCGGTTTTGCTCAGTGGTTAGAGCGTCAGCTGGTGGAACAAAGTTGTGGGTTCCATTCCTGATCAAGGGTACTTACCTTGGTTTCGGCTTTGATCCCCAGCCCCGGTTAGGATGGTGTGGGAGGCAACCGATGAAGGTGTCTCTCGCACATCGATGTTTCGCTCCTTCTCTCTCTCTCTCCCTCCCTCCTTCCCAATCTATCTAAGAAAATCAGTGGAAAAAAATATCCTCAGGTGAGGATTAACAACAACAACAATAGTTAAAGAAAAACCCATCTACGTCACCTCTGTCTGAGCATCCCAGGATGGAAAGCCAGCATTGTTACCTGGGGAAGCCTGGCTGAAGGGAGCAATGTCAGATGCTAAGAGAGGTGTTGCCAAGTTCACCTGGGCTAGCCAAAGAGGGAGGAGGAGCTGGTGAATGGAGTGGGCATAAAAGGAATTAAAAAAAATATCAGCTTGATACAAGGGAAGCAGAGGTCCAGGCCTCTTGCTCATGGCAAACCTCCCTCTGTCTCATCTCCTTTGGGGAATGTTCAGGGTTTTGTTTTTTGTTTTCTATTTTCCAACCTCATGGAGATCTGGGAAGAGTAGGTAAACTGACAGTGGTCTGTGATTTTCTCCAAAAGAAAATAATAATAATATAGTGAGATAAATAGTTAAGAAATTATTAATGTAATATATATTTATTTTTTCAATTACAGTTTACATTTAATATTATTCTGTTTTAGTTTCAGGTGGACAGCATAATGGTTAGAAAATCATGTATTTTACATAGTGTCTCCCCGCTGATGTTTCAAGTGCCCATCTGATCCCATATATAGTTATTAGGATATTATTGACTATATTCCCTATGCTGTACTTTGCATCCCTGGGACGATTCTCTAACCACCAATCTGTACTTCTTTTTTTTTTTTTTTATTAAAAAATTTTTTTTCCCTTTATTGAATTTAAAGAGAGAGGAAGGGAGATGGAGAGAGAGATAGAAATATTGATGAGAGAGAACATCGATTAGCCACCTCCTGCATGCCCCCCCCCCCCCCGAGGATTTGGCCCGCAACTTGGGCGTGTGCCCTGACCAGGAATTGAACCGATGACCTCTTGGTGCATGGGTCGATGATCAACACTAAGCCACCCCAACACTAAGGGCCCAATCTGTACTTAATCTCTTCACCATTTTTACCCAGTCCCCAACCCCCTTTTCTTCTGACAACTGTCAGTCCATTCTCAAACACATTTTTTTTTTATCCTCACCCGAGGACTTTTTTTTTTTTTTTTCATTCATATTCAGACAGAGCGGGAGGGAGAGAGGGGAGAAGAGAGAGAGAGAAACATCGACACAAGAAAGACACATCGATTGGTTGCCACCCACACGATCCCAACCAGGGCCGGGGACAAACTGCAACCGAAGTACGTGCCCTTAGTGGGAACCAAACCCAGACTCCCCGGTCCGCGGTCTGATGCTCTAACTGCTGAGCCAAACCGGCCAGGGCATCAAATACATTTTTAAAGGTTGGTCATGCCAACTGCCCAGTGGTTCTCTACCATTGCTTCAGGACAGAACAGAAAAAAAAAAAAATCAAATTAAGTGTTGATTTCCAAAATAAGCACTTTTTGGAGATAAGCGTTGTTGAGACCAACCCTTCTATTTGCAGAGTTCAGACATAGAAGGGCAAAGGGTGACCTATAGTCTAGAGTTTGGAGGACTGGGGACTGTGTGTTTATGATAAGCCAGTGGTTTTCAAAGTGTGGTCCCTGGGCCCTGGCTCACTTGGTTGGCGTGTTGTTCCGTGCACCACAAGGTGGTGAATTTGATTCTGGTCTGGGCACATAACCAGGTTGTGGGTTTGATCCCTGGTTGAGGTGTGTGTGGGAGGCAGCCGATCGATGTTTCTCTCTCTCTCTCTCTCCCCCTTCCTCTCTCTAGAATCAATCATTAAAAAAAAAAAAGGTATGGCCCCTGTACCTGCAGCCCGCATCACCTGAGAACCCATTAGACATGCAGGCTCTCAGGAGCCAACCCGATTGCATTTCAGGTTCCTACGGCTGCTGAGACGCATGACCAACGACTCAGCAGGTTAAAACAACGCAGGTGTGTTATTTTACAGTTCTGGAGGTCAGACTCCTGAAATGGCTTCATGGGGGTACAATCAAGTTGTCAGCAGAACTTGTTTCTCCTGGTGACCCCAGCAGAGAGTTCGCGTCTTGTCTTTTCCAGCTTCCGAAGGCCTCCGTATTCCTTTGCTGGTGTCTGCATCACTCCAACATCTGCTTCTATCCTCTCTTCTTCCCTGCCTCTGGCCCTCCTGCCCCCTCCTGTAAGAACCCTTGTGATGACACTGACCCACCCAGATAACCCAGGATCATCTCCCCATCTTAAAAGCCTTCATTGAATCACATCAGCAGAAACCCCCTTGGCTGTGTGAGGTTACATGTTCACAGGTTCCAGGGACCCATGCACTGTTATCACTTCCTACTGACCTCATCTAATGAATCAGAAATTCTGGGGGTGGGCCCAGCAATTGTCGTCACAATGAGCCCTCCAGGTGGTGCATAGCCATGTTGGGGACCCTCGACTCTCAGGCATAGATAGAGGAGCAGGCTGTGGGATGTGTGGTCAGGCCACAGGAGGAGGGGCAGCTCTCTGAGGACAGTGGGGAGAGCTGGAGACATCAGGCTGAGACCTGAGCGTGGGGCCTACTTTCTGTTCTGCAGCCTCTAGAAGTTGCAAACTGGGCCGCATGGGCAGAGACTCAGATGGGTCTGAGAATCAACATCAGAACTGCTGGCTGGTTCCCTGCAGCTGTGCATCCACAGTATCTTTGGGTTACCTGAGAGGGAAAGAAACCACAGGTGGCCTATGTCAACCAGAGAAGGACTGACCACCTCTGTCACGCCCATCATGACTCCCTTGGACCTGGGCCAGAGTGTGGAGGTCTGGAAAGTTATTGAGGCTCCTGGAAAGAGCAGGGGAAAGTTCTGGGAATGAAGAATGTGGGTACCCACTGGGTGGGTGGGAGAATGGTGTAACAAAGGCCCCCTGGTGGGCAGCCTTGAACTTGGGGGCTGATGTAAGGATGAGAAATCCAATTGGAGGCCAGTGGAGTTGAGACAGTGCCACTTTGCCTGAGGCCCTCGGAGCTCAGAGTCTGAGGAATAGGGCAGGAAACAGAGAAGGAGTGGGGGTGGGGTGGGACTTGAATCCCACTGCACATTCATCCGGAAGACCCTGTGTTAACGCAGAAGAGACCAAGTTACCTGAAAGTATTCATAAGCTTTCAAATATAGTTCATTTTTTAGCACAATACCTATAGATTCTCAGAAAACAATGGACAGGTATTAGAGAGACACTTTTTTTTTTTTTTGGTACGTGCCCCTAGCGGGAACCGAACCTGAGACTCTCTGGTCCATAGGCCAACACTCCAATGGCTGAGCCAAACCGGCCAGGGCAGACAAAACACTTCTATACCCTGACGGTGTCTGCACAGCAATTGATGTCATTTGTTTAGAAACCAGTAAGAGCTGATGGCAGAGGGGAACCCCCATATGCCTACAGTTTGTTGAATTTGGGGGGAAGGCATGATGAACAGCTGACTCAACAACAGGACTTCTGGCAAAAAGTATCTCATCCCCTCAGTCCTGCTCTTCTGCTCAAGGGCACTTTTTTTTTTTTTTAAATCCTCACCCGAGGATATTTTTCTACTTATCTTCAGACAGAGTGGGAGGGGGAGAGAGGGAGAGAGAAACATCGACATGAGAGAGACACATTGACTGGTTGCCTCCCGCACGACCCTACCAGGGCCAGGGACAAACTGCAGCCGAGGGACGTGCCTTTGGCTGGATTCAAACCCGTGACTCAGTGGTCCGCGGGCCAACACTCTACCACTGAGCCAAACCGGCCGGGGCCAGGATACATTTAATACCTGGCCACACGGTATCACATGCTAATCCCATGCAGAACCCCCCCCCCCATTCCTCTTTGCCTCTTCCTTTTCTGTATTTCCCCAATGCTGGCAGTAGGGTAGCATGCCATCCCTGCAGCAGATCCGGGATGATGGAGAAATCAGAAAAAGCATCCAGTGAAGATATGATTTCTTTTCTTACACAGGGAGCTGATGAAGGCCTACAAATAAACTGCCATTTTATGAGAATGGAAGATTAAATTTCATTATACTGGGGACCAAGACTAGGTTTTAGAATGCTATTCTGGATGGTGTCATTCTGAAGAGTAATTCCTTGATGGGGTAGTGGTACCTCCTGCCCAATAATAGTCCTCAGTCCAACTCTCACACTGTGGTCCACTCAGGGGCTCAGGATCCCTGGACACCTGCTCTGGAGTGGCTCAAAAGAAGGTGTTTTTCTACAAGTTTGTCTTGTAAGCCAGTATTTCCCTCTGGGA